GATGGTTGCATGAATGGATTCCCAGTCTGAGTGTACGGAAAAAGTGGCGCAGAGAGCAAGTTGACCTAAAAGTAGGAGACGTTGTCATTGTCATGTCCCCGGATACACCAAGAGGAAAATGGCCTTTAGGAAGGATTGTAAGGGTGTTCCCTGGAAAAGACAGCAAAGTTGCTGTTGTTGATGTTCAAGTTGGAAAGACTGTTCTACGGAGACCAATTGTGAAACTTTGCCCATTAGAGCAATGTTGAACATTAAGTGACATTATTAAGACAAATGCTTTTGAACAAATTTATTTTGCCTAAGTTTTGTTGATAGTTTCATATCAAGAAAGGGGAGGATGTTCTGGAGAATATTTTAGTGGTTGTCCTGTGACATATTTCAAGTGCATGCGCAGTTTTGTTTTAGCGAGCACGAGGTTTTTGCTTTTCTGCCAGCTCATCACATTTTTGGAGCAAGCAAGATAAAATTAAATTGTTGATGTTTTGTTTATTTTCTCGTGGTTTTTATGGACTTTCGACCGACCAATTATCCTGGCGAACATTCGTCTATGTCTGAAAGTAAAATAGTGTCATCAAATCTGATATCTTTCCAAAAAAGAAAAGTGCCTTCAAAATTTGTTTTATTCTATTTCTCTGACTGGCATTTAGACTGTTAATTCCATGTTAGCCATCAGTTTGAGTTGTAAATACGTCATTCCATGTTTATTAACGTTGCATCCAAAATTTAACAAAATTAACAAAATAATAAAAATATAAAATATATGACATTTAAACAGAAGCACGTAAATGAAAGACTACTGAACTCTGGTGTTTGCTCTACAGGTAGGAGTTCAAAGGAAGACTAATATCAGTTGCATGCCACTCCTTTTTACCCATGGTACTTGTTACGTGTTTGTACCGGAACGAGCCTTGTCCTTGTGACCGCGCTCTGCCTTGTAATGAATCGATTACTTTTTGCAGGATACCAACTATTTTTTTCTCATGAATGAAAATTAAAAGCAAATTGACAAACATCAATTCTCGCGAGGTATAAGGCGAGGGAATCTTTTCCTTGGTTATTATAACTGTCTGGATTAGTTCATCTATCACGATTATTTCTATAGTCTTTCATGTTTATCGATTAAATGGTGCAGTTTTCATTTGTATGCTATTTATTTTAAATGAGATTCCAAAGACTTTTTGAATGTTTCGTACAATAACACTGCTTACGTAAAGACCTAATCTAACGCATTTTAGAGTAAAATTTTCTCTACCATCTCAAGGCGATGAAAAGAAGTCAAGAGTAGGCTTCTGGAGGTTTTTAGCACTACATACGAGACTGATACTCTTTTTTTCTTCAACCATTGTTTGATGTAGAGATATAAATAGCTATACATTTACCACGTATTGTTGTTGTTGACTCACCGTTGCATTTGTGTTTGTCACTAGAAAGCAAAAAACCACTGTGACACTGGCACTCATAACTTCCTTTTGTATTGTGACAGATCTGATGGCAGCCACCATCATTGGTGGTACACTCGTCCACGTCTGTTAAAAGAGAGGAAAGTGTTAACTAAGACCTTAATTTCATAGCTGACCTGCGTAAATGTTGATCAGTAATCATTCATCAGAGTTATTTTTATTATATACACAAACGTGTTGCAGAATCGGTTTACTTACACCCACTTACACTGGTGAGATTACATGTTTACTCAGTCATTTTTCTTCGATATTTTTTGACATCTGAGCAGATAACTTTCTAATTACCGCAGTTCTTTTCCAAGAACATTTTGCACCTTTCTTCCCTTCAAAAATTGCAAATATCGCCAAACTTCACCGATTCCTAGAGTAATAACGTCATCAAACTAAATTTGTGTAATTATGGGTTTTATTGAGAGTAAAAAACTGATGAAAAGGGCTATTTGACAATAACCAGCATTTTCTTAAAGTTAAGAACAAGATATTAACACTATTATGTTTTGTCAACTGCATTCAAATCCTTCTAAATTTGACTTGGGTTATAAAGTCATGTTCCAAGTCAATATGATTTCTCTTACACGTCACTGGGCGTTCGCTCAGGGGGGCAGATCCAATGTACAATGTAAGAAGGAGTGGGTGATACTTATCGATCACAAAACAAGTTTATTAAATTAGTCCTATGGAAATTCCAAAACGTTGCAGTAGAGGGAAGATGAATACATGAACCTGTAACAACACAAATTCTTACACGCCTCCCGACTATCAGAAATTTCAGGCGGCCAAAAATCCCTTGGATCCACCTTGCGGTTGTATTGCTATAATAAGCAATGAAGTTTCTGCTGCCATAAGACAACAGAATTTCTACTGATAAATATTACCTGTGCATTTTTGTCCATCTCCTGTATATCCTGGTGTACACGTGCAATCGAAGGATCCGTGGGTGTTATTACAAAATGCATCAGAACTGCAATCGTGGGCATCTGCCACACACTCATCGATATCTGGAATACGTTTTTCATTAAATAACTGAATACTCAGTCGGTGAAAAATTAAAATTTATTTAGCCTGGACGGGAAAACATCCATTCTTGCAAATGCAATTATAAGATCCTTTGTTCTTCCTGACTTTGCGTTTCTGTGGCATTTGTTTGTTTTAGACCCACAATCGATTTTTGGACAACCTTTATTATATTCAGTAACCGTCTGAATGTGTCTCCTATGATACCATAGTCGTGACCTGAAGTTTACTATTTTTTTTTACTTTTTTAATTTTTTTTTTAACAATAATTGCAAATATAAGGTGAAGATGGTATTTCGTCATTTCCAAACTAGGTTTACTTCCAACTTTACTTACGGTTTCATTAATAAAACTTTGACAAGATGCTTCCCCTATTAACTAAAACCTCATTTATGTATTTGTATATTCACTGATCACCTGTACAGTTCCATCCGTCTCCCAAGAACCCAGGTTTACATGTGCAGTTGTAGGATCCTTTGGTGTTATTGCAAACCGCATTAGAACTGCAATTGTGGGTTCCTTCTTTGCACTCATTGATGTCTGAAATCATATTGATCAATAATAGCAACAACGTGTTTCGCATTTGTGTGTTTTAGACTTTCCACCGTTTACATCTACAGTGAAATCAAGAGAAGAGGTTACTAGAAGGTAGTAACAGTATAAGTAGCAAGTCACAAAATCGGTGTTGAATCCAAAGAAAAGCTAGATTTTCCTCTGTCTGTTAAGACATTGACTTATTGTTTAATTTGCGTTTTGTTGTTGTTGTTGTTTTTTTTTTCACCTTCACCTATGAACTTAATCAGTTATGAGAAAATTAAGACTTTTGCATATTCAGCAAAAGATTATGGCAGGAGCACATAATGGTTGGACCCACAGTTTCGATATTTGACATTCTTGATCTCTGTATGTCACTTATTTTCCCTCGCAAAGTTTTATTTGGTTACAACTCTCCCCTAGCTGCTCACGGTAAGTTATCCAAAAATATGTACAACCCGATTTCATCGGCTCGCATTCGACCTGGAAGCTCGAGTGGTCACACGTAGGGTATGCAGGGTGGAAATTCAATGTTTTACCCATTAAGGTATCGCTGAGGGCTAAAGAGGATGAGTTTTGGTTTTTTCCTCAAGAAATACCCATATATAAAAAAAACAAATGCCGTGACTTTCATGATCCATGGTATTCTTAAGGGGTCAATTACAGCTAAGAGCAAAAGGCCACGCCCTTATTAGTGTCCAGTAGGGGTTTTAATACTAATTTCAGACGAGCATTTTTCATTGAAGTCTTCCCGCCCCCACGCGAGCTCAGTAAAATGAACTTCCTAGCAAAGAGCATAGAGGTATTACTCAGGCTCAGGCCATATCAGGTTTTCTTCTTTTACAGTTGAGATGCTATTGAAGATTAGCTTTCTTTTACCAACTGCTACTACTTAACAAGAAGCCCTAACACGCAACTCAAATAACCAAGAAACACACACAAGATTACGACAATATAATGCAAAAATTTCGTGGAAAATAGTATTTGAAAGTCTGCGACATTTAAAGAAGGCTAATTTAAACTCACAGGATAACAAAACCTTAAAATAACCGCTCGTTTCATACACTGCCGTGAGAAATGACATGGACGGCTCAAATCATCTTTATCACGATTTAAAATCCTTTGATTTAATTAGTTGCTTTAAAAGAAACTTTCAAGAATAACTTACCATTCTCACAGTGTTCACCAGTGAAACCAGAAGGACACAAACACCGATACTTTTTCTCTGTGAATCCAGACTGACAGGTACCGTTGTTATGGCAACGGGGATTATCACAAGCACTCTTTAAAGAACAAAAATCATGTCTGATTTGTAACAGAAGTTACGCCAATTAAACCTTCACTACGGGATGACTATGACGATGATGACAATGATAATTATTACAAAGATGATGTTGATAATAGGGAGCTTAACGACGACGACGTCGAAGACAACGAAAACGTCGAAAAAGCAAATAGGTTTAGTTTACCAAATTTTAAAAAAATATATTTGCATGTGGATAACGCTTTATCTTACATTTCGTTGGTGTCGTTTCATGACCTACCTAATTTCACGTTTCTGGACAAATGGTTCTATTTTTTTTCAACTTAGATACAGTCCTTTAGAATTTAACACCCGAAAAATTCACCAACATTTGACAAAACGCGGCATGGAAAAAGAGCGACGAATTTTGAAACAGTTCGAGTTAACTTTTTAAGAAAAGTTCACTCCACCGCCATCGTCGACGTAGTTGCTTAAGCTCCCTAATGACGAAGATGACGTCTCTTGTGATGATGATGACTATGGTGAGATAATGATCGCCTTGAAGATGATGAAAGCAGATCATGAAAGAAAAAAAGACAACGAAAAGACAAGACAAAAAACTCACAATTGCTCCATGATATAAGCAGCCTCTCCTCCCTAAAAAGTCTTCATCGTGCGCTCGGTGTGTTGAATTATTCAGTTCACACCGTTTCTGTGTTTGTATTTCATAATTAACGCTGACGCAGTTTGGTTCGTTGTAACAAAGCAGTTCACAGAGACCCATATCCGGGACATGTTGGACAATTAAGATCGTGTGGCTATCTAAACATTTGTCAGCAATTAGGAAATAGCTCGGAAACGCCAGTACGCGGCAGTTACCTGAATTTAAAAAAGGAAAAAAAATACGTTTAGAAATTCTGACCTGTTTTGGCGGCAAAAAGAGCTTCGATTAATATAAAGAAACTGTCCTTTGTAGATAAGATTGAAGTTCATGGAACGTAATAACTTATATTTTAGGTTATAGTCCTGCTCTTTCAGCCATGTTTAATCTGAAATTTGATGAAACTGCTATGTATATTAATTAAACTTGCTGGGTTTTTTGGAATCGCTGACGATCTTCCTGGGAGAGTAGTTTTATTCTTCAAACTGGCTTAAAATAGCAAAGTATATGAAATAATGTCGACAAGGAGATGGATATAAGTTGTTAGCTCTCTAGGCCCATTTTCTGTCAATTGGTCGAGCTCTAAAAGAAAACCCCCTTTTTAAGGAAAATATACGACAATTCGTTTTAAAATTTGCAAAAGCCAAATGAAAAGGCTGAAAACAGGAAAACTGGAAGATGGTATTCCCACCTGTCTTGAATAGTGGTAAACTGTCGTGTTTATTGTGAAAATATTTTTCCCTAGTCACGCAAATAACAAAATTCTTTGTTTCTTAGCAACTTTCTCCTTGTTAACGAGTTTATAATCTAAGGGTTAAACCGCAGTGACAACATAGAAACTCAATTTTATATTTCTTAAAAATTTCTCACATTTGTCTCCTGTTATTTAACTTTTAAATAGGTTTCCATGTTGTTCGTTGAGTCCGCTGGCAATTTATAATTGAACAAAATAGCAACATTCCGGCATTGGAATAGAAGACAGTTAAAATAAATCCGGCGCATAAAATGGGAAAAACCGTTTCAGGTTCTGCTCTGCCTTAAGGACAATAACAAATCCATGGAAAGTTTCGATTTTATGAAAAGAGCCAACATTGTGATCGTCCGGTGTTTGCTCAGGAAATGTTTTCCCGTTGATATGCAAACAGAATTCTTTTGTTGTTGCTGTTGTTGTTGTTGTTTTTTTTTTTCAACTGAATCTTTATACAGATTCAAACAGAAGTCTTTTTTTTTTTAGCAATTTTCTCCTTGTTAATTACGTGCAGCGGGATGTGTTTACCCTTATTTCCTCTTATTCAGCATTTATTAAGGTTGCCATGTCATTCAGTCAGTCTGTTAGCAGCTGCATGATTGAATGAATAAGCAAATTCTTGCATTAAATAGAATAAAACGTGGGTTGAAATAGATGGCATGATATCGAAAGAATTCCAGAATTCAAAGGACAACTTCTATGATACAATTAACACTGACTTACGCCCAAAGAGGACAAAAATAAATAACTGTTAGCTTTGTATTTCGCTGGTTTTTCGTCCATGAGGAACGTTTGATATTTATTCTGAAAAAAGGCATTCAGTGAACGTCTTAAACATATTAAATTGACCACAAAGGAAACAAGGACAGTTGAGTAGAATAAAATTCCCGTTAATACGATGACCGTTGGGCTTTGGGCTTGGGCTTGTCCATGATCCGAGAACGTGGTACAACCCATATTATACTAAGCCTTTCTAAAATATATGCAGCAAAGTAGAATTTCACCAGTCTATTAATCTGCCGTGCCGGATTTTACACATATGACTCGGACGCTCAATTATGTTATTGTAACAACTTTCAGTAAGATAAAATTGATGCAGATTGTCAAATTGATTACGTCTGACTTCCCTGTTGTTCGTATTAACGAGGTACAAATATAAAGAAGGTAACGCCTGGGGATACTTATAAAGGTGGTCATATTGAACGAGGTTTTCGAATAAGGAAATGACAGGACATTTTCGAGCCAGTAAAAGATTCGTTAAACTTAAAAGAGGGGAACAGGGTCGTATTAATGTATAGTGTTAATATGGTAGGGGTCCAAAGTAAAAACAAAGATAATTAAGAACAGATACTAAGGAATCATGAGCTGCAGAGGGGAAGTGAAAAGTTCAACTGATAAGAAACGAAAAGAAATAAAAAGGGACTAAAAGATCCTCGCACACGCTGACATTGTTAGCAGCCTTTTTTATTATTTTTTTTCTCGCTAATAATAGCCAGATTCTGTTTTCTTTTCTACAGCTAGATTCTTGAAGAGCAATCATTTTGCCGGCGAGCAGACGTAACAGGCTAAATAAACAAACAGATCCCACAAAGATGTGGTTAATCGCTAGTAAATGTAAAAGAGGTTAACAGTGAAAAAAGCCGGTCTCCAACCAAAATTTATCATTTAGAGCGTTTCGAAAACGCTTGTTTAGAACTTTTTGCGTCTTTTCTCCTCGTTGCTAATAGACATGGTTCTTTATATCCGGGAAAGGTACAGTCCTTGGAGTCCTACGAGCCTTACACAATTTTGCAACCACGAAAATCAATTTTGCGGAACTTTTTGCATGTGAAGTGACTTTTTTGCATATGTCTGTTAACTGTAATTAACCTTAAGCCGTAGAAAAGTCATATTTATGGGCAGTATATTAGAGCAGAAATTTTGCAGCTACTCTTGATTCCAATTCAGTTTAAAGTCCGTCTAGCCAATTATAATTTTTTTTTTATCTTCTTTCAAGAGATAAATGTATTTCTCACTATTTTGTCGTCCAGTTTTTGAAAATAGCGATAACTATGATTGAAACAACAAGCCGGGAAGAGAAGAACTTACCATCCAAACAGCCGAAGCAAATTCTTAAAGAATACATGTACAGCATAAAGAAAATACTGTAGTGAAGAACAACACCCATGATCGCTGCCTTGTTCGCGGAACGCAACTTTCCTGAAAAGTCGATTGCATTAAGTGCGGATAAGTTACAACGGGGATGTAACTTATACTATGCCGGTAAACAGTTTCATACCACCTGTCACATTTTCACATTAACGTCAAAACTTAAATTATTCTTTTTGTTGATGACATAATTTAACAGTCGTTGGAAACATTTTACTGATCGATATTTCACAGTTAACACATACTTATGCACAAACAGAGACTTCCAGATCTATTGAAGATGTAGCTTTTCTAGCGTTAACTGTGCTCTCATTAACATCGTCTTTAGATTCTTACACCGTTCGTGGTAAACAAAATTTGGGATAAATTAATGTTGAAAGGCTTTTATGATCTATTAATAACAACTCTGTTTCAAAATATTAGGGACTAGCCAGATGGGCCATTGTCGCCGGGTAAATTGGGTAAATTTTTAAAAAATAGCATTTATTATTCAGAGATAAGTTAGCAAATTTTAATTATTTTCTTCTATGCAAATGTTTTTACAACAGCGTAGTTAACCCTTTCGCAACTGAACTTAATAAACCGCAAATAATATCTCTTAAACTGAGGTGAAAAAAAAAAACCATTGTTGTAGACAATACTCTAATAAATAATGGAAAGATAAGCAGGTGTTGACTGGACGATTCCACACTCTATTCTAATGCACTAGAACATGATTAGCTGAGTGGTTGTCTACTCAATGGGACTCACCATGCATGGCCACAGGCAGACCAAGCTTTTAGCTGGGTACGTTTTACAGGGTCTCTGGCTATACATTCAAACCCCGCTTTGATGACATCTGTTTCGTTATTACCGACAGCTTTCTTTCCTGGACAAAGCCCTTACATTTTAACCCGCTTAATAAGGACACTTAAATTCTTTTTTGTAAGCGTCAGTATGAAAATTGCCGAAACCTTCCCTAACGTATCACTATCTACTGCCGCCTCAATAATTAATTTTAGCTCTGATATTCTGGTCTTGGCTCAGGACTCCTGAGTTTTCATTCTATGTATACGTAATTAGTGATATCCTGCGTAACCTCAGTTCGTCCGTGGCGCAGGCTAAATAGTGAAGACCAGATGATATCAAACGTTTAACGGGTCATGTTATTAAAGTAAACAACCGAACTTCTTTTGGTGAACAACTGAAATACTAAAGAAATATTAATAAACAGAACATTGCTGTAGTATTTCTAACTGGCCACCTAGGCCATACAGTCTAATAAACACGAGCACTACTTAGCTCATCACCGCTACACGACAAAACACAACCCTGTCAAGTCACTTGACTAACATGACTCCAGACTGTCCCGCGCTAGGGAAGTTAAGTTCCGGATGTACACTACAATTGCCGTTGCTAGTTTCAACGTAGACTACGTCCTTTGGTTTGCACTCATTACTTAATCAAAAACAGTTCTCTCTGTATTAAACTCATTTATTACTTTAAAAAGTCAGAAATTGACGCCTCCACTTCATTTTATCCCGTCTGCCGTAGCACTGTAAACATCGAAATGCTCACATCCGAAGATAACAGAGGCAAGGATTAATACAGCACACAACTGGTAGATAACAAAGTGCAGGGTCGGATCCAGGATTTTTTTTAGGAAGGGGTGCACTCGTCTCTTGCTCTACTTCAACACCAATAAACCACATAGTTTTTTTTTTGTAGAATACCAGTTGTATTAGAAAACCGCAGGTCATCTCAGGGGGGGGGGNTAGATCCGCCCCTGAAGTGTCATATTATCGAGGTTAACTTCCTCTGGTCTAAGAATTTGTTGATCGGAGTAGGAAAAAAGTAACCTTTGTCCGAATTAACGGGTGTCCTTATTAAGCGGGTTGAAATGTAACGGCTTTGTCTAGGGACGAAGAGAGCTGTCCGTAATAACGAAGCATTCGTATTAAGCGGATGTCCACAAAGCGGGGCTCGAATGTTAGATAGATAGATAGATAAATCGTTTATTGCATAAATACTTTGCAGTCGTAAAACTGAATTGCGTATTTTACAAATAACATTAGTTAAAATATAAAACTAATTACAATCATATGAATATAAATACCTTGTGTAGTAAAGCTAAAAAATATGTATAAAAATCTTACAATAAAGTCGATTTCTTTGAATTTTTCAGAGCTTTATGCGCAATCCTGGGACATAGCATAAACAAAAGAGCGTCTGAGACGTTCCGTATGGGAACGTGGCAAGTTATATAACTTTTGACACCTTAAATTATAGCTGGATTGTTTTCTTGGTGGCAGCAGGTGGTATAACTTATGTCCGGGTTTGATAGCAATGGAATCGAACAATTGTCTACATAGTCCATTGCGTCTATCATATAGCATTGGCAGGCCTAGGCTGTAAAGGCATTCCCGATATGACATGGCAGGTGAAATTATGGAAAGCGCTCTTTTCTGAATTCTTTCAATATCCCCATTAAGATAAGCCGGGAGTGCGTGATGGAAAACCGGAGCGCAGTATTCTAGTACAGGTCTGATTGTTGTACAATAGAAATTCACAATGTCATTAAGGGGAACACGAGCCCTTTTCAAGAGAACAATAAAATACAGGCGCTTATTTGCTTTCTTAATGCAATCTACAATGTGTTATATTTCAAGTCACTGGATATCGTAACACCTAGTATCTTCGTACAGTCGGTGACAGGAAGCTCGTTTCCGTCTACCTCGAGAGGGGAGAAGTTATGAGAGATCTTCTTAAAGTCGATAACCATCTACTTGCACTCGTCGGCATTTAGCTGCATCCGCTGGGACCGAGACCAGTCCTCCACGGCAGTAACAGCGTGTTGCACATCACCCAGGGAGCCGCGAAGTATGGCTTGAGAGATTGTCGTATCGTCCACATACTTCCACGTGAGAGCGTCAACCTTGAGATCATTGATCATGAGTAAGAAAAGCCAAGGGCCGAGCTTGGTCCCCTGAGGAACTCCGGCGGGGACTGGACCCCACTCAGAGAAGCAGTCTGAGGACAACTTGACGCGTTGGTGTCAATTTGTCAAAAAGTCAGTCACCTAGGCTTTGATGCTGTGCGGCATATCGAGGCCATTGATCTTAGCGACAAGTATCTTATGATCGATAAGGTCAAAGGCCTTGCGGTAATCAAATAACACGACCCTGACAGCTGCACCGGTACCGTCTGTAGCTTGTAACCAGTGGTGAAACATCGAGATCAGAGCAAACAGGGTAGAGGATTTAGGGATTCCGCCGTATTGATCATGGTCATTGATCTTGAGCACAGTAGGGCCGATATGGGTCCTGTGTTAGGCCACAGGACCCTGAAACGTTCAGTGTTCACGAAGAGCTTTTATTAGGCCAATCCGTTGGTCCGTCCAAATGGCTATTGCCGGACTTATTGAGTGGTACTGCAATCGACTGGGAATGAGTGTCATTAACGAAATAAAGAGTGAAAAGTAGCTGATACACTGGGTTGGTTATCAGAACGCGCCGCAATCCGAGGTGGTAGAGTTTCGCTCAACCCTCAAGAAATCTACACCGCCAAAGTACTACAAACCGCAACCATCGTCTGATGTTTACTGGAAGATAGGATTATCACTTCCAGATGTAGACACTGCTCGTTCAAAGCTTGTACGTCAGGACGTGGAGGTCACTTCTCCAAGACAGTTCCGGGATATCGGATACATGTGCCACTTATGCGACCTATTTGGGTTTTCATTAGAGCTGCTTCAGCATCATGATTTCCAGTCTAATTTTAGTTCTGAGCGAATACAAGCCTCTCTTGAACCGAACCTGGCGCTTGGGCAGCAAGCGCACATCGGGCGAATCACTCTTCGTGTTTCTGATATCAATCGAAGCCATCAATTTTATCAGTCTACGCTTGGTTATGAAGTTACTTTTAGCATGTACAGACGAGAAGCCACCTTCACGTGATGTGAACGTAGTGGAAATCCGCGAGTGGCTTTTGAAAAGGCCTTACGCCACTTTAGCGTTGCAGCATTATCCCGGTACGGACCGGAAGTACAACATTGCAGACTTAAACCATGAAAGTGGCTTTACTGCGCTCGCGTTAATAGTTACTGCACAGCGTTTTGAGGAGCTTAAAGTCTTTTGTAATGTAGAGGATGTAGGCAGGAATTATCCAGAATATAATGCCAGTGTCCTAGAATGCAAAGACCCTGACGGTACAAGTGTTTTAGTGAAGGTGTCTTATGAGCTACAGCGTCATAAAGATACAAGTGTGTTGCTCATTTTAGGCGAGTGACAGTGTCCAAAGGATGATACCTCCTAAAATGGGAGGTCCATTAGTCACACTGATTAGTATGGGCCATGACTGGGCAGGAAAAGCAGATAGTAGTCCCAGGGGGTAGGGGTACTCAACAATGTTTTATACAGGTAGGCTCTGTCCTTTGAACTGTAATGTACTTTCTTTAAGATATATGAATAAACCTCAAACCAGAACATTTCCTGAACTTTTTGACAGCCTTAAAATCCACCTGTTAGTCCTTTTGGGCGTAATATTACAGACCAAAATGACAGAATTCCCTACCCTTTCATAAACTTCAACCAGTGAAATCCTTACCCTTTCATACAGTCATGTATACCTGAAGCCTGAAAAAGGTGCTCCTTTCGGGTAGAGCCTCCCGTTATAGGTCATTATAAGGAGTACCCACCCCTCCTACCGGGATATCAGGGGTGGGTCCAAGAATTGTCTCATAGTGGGGAATCAGGATAGGAGTATTCTCTGATGGGTGCATTAAGAGAGGGAATCAGAACCCTCTTCATGGATCAGTGATTTTGATACAAATAGTTAATTATGGTGAATCCTGGGACTCATCTTATGAAAAATCAAGAGTCCCAGTCCAGAACCAGTGAGTCCGAGTTAAAAAAAAAGAAAACAGCCCAAACCAGTGAAAATGGTTGGACCTTTTTGTAACCAGATGGACAGTTAATCCGACGGAATCAAGATCCTTGTTCTGCCCCACAACTACCCAGGCTATGGCGTCTATGCCTAACTATGGTGCATACATGCATGTACTCAGAATAAGGATTTTGTCTC